AAGGGCAGGACGCTGAAAACATTTGATGGATCTACGTTATCTTCCAGATATTCCATGCATTTATCAGCCAATGAAGGCACCATGTATTTCTTCGCCAAATACAACACTCCCATCACATTACTTCCGCCCAAGTTCACTTCATCACTGTACATGTAACGAAACAACTCCAATATAGTGTCGTACTCACAGTCAGGCAGTTCAATAGAGTCTGTAGTCTCCGCTAGCTCACCATAAAACATGGCTTCAAACACAGGACTGCCAATCGCCAACACCAACTTGTGAGCTGGAATCACTAGCTTTCTTCGTTTACTTTCACTTTCGCCATCCGTCCTACCGATGACAAACTTCACATCACTAAAGAGATCGCTGTTCAAAATAAATTTGCTTCTTTCTCTGATAGTTGGTCTTGTTGTTTGCCAGTTTTCCTCAACGACTTTAATATCGACAGACGACTCGACAGACATGATTTTTGTACAGACCCGTCCAGGGGCTGTAAACTTTAGTGTAATCCAGAAGTCAAGATCTTCCAATCTTCCAATCTTCCTTACGGTCTTCATCGTCGACGAGAAGGCCCTGGGAACGATTGTCCAAGACTCGAGACAGCGGTCAGCATCAGCATAATAAGCGGTGGCTTACGAAATATTGAAGTAATTCATGGTGAAAAAGTCACTAAATTCCGGGTGGAAGGTACACGCTTTTCAGAGACTTATGGTGGAAGGGAAGAATTACAGACACATGGACCTGGATTTAACAGCTTGCTCATCCAAATGCTTAGGGGTACTCAAACCAAGGGTTAGAAAAATGGTGTCAGCTTTCCTGTCAAGACTGGTCTAAACAAAGGGTTAGGGTTTGGACTTCCGTGTGGAACCTCCTGGTCCCCGTATAGACTTTCTCGGGTATATACACGTACCCGCCTGGGACGAAAGAAAGCCAAGGAAATAAAGAGTAGCAAAATACCTTTCTTTGGCACAAACAGAACAGTTCCCTTTCATGGCCTGATAACAAGTTAAAGGGAAATCCCTGTTAACTCTATTTCTCTGAGATTCGGGGCGTCGTTTTTTCAGTGAAACGGGGTAGTTCAGCTTTAATAGTAAGTATAAGTTGGCTGGCTTGAAGATGTAAGTGCGCG